AGGAGAACCCGCTTTACCACATTGGATTGTCATCGACAAAAAGTGTGTGTACAAAATTTGAACTCGATAGCTTATCAGGTACTAAGTTAAAAATCGATGACAAAATTCCCTTCAAGTGAAACACCATGAGTGAACTTAATAAAAACGCATGGCTGCAGAAAGCGGGCGATCTCTATCTCGCGTATATCATACCATCAGAGAATTTTTGCAAGATAGAAACAACTAACATACCAACTTTGGACTTACTCAGAAGTCCCATATGCTATGATTTGATGGTAGTCCATTCCACATGGTTTATGGAAGATGTCCTAATGGCTCATTATCTATCTTCAAAAGATCATACACTAATAGAATCCTTATTCCTCATGGAAAACTTATCTCAGTGACTGATTACCTGAATATTTGAAAGTCTAAAAAGCTGGTGAATTACGTGGGACTTACAGTTATTGGCAAACAGCAAGCTTATGCATTTTACTACAACCGAAAGACTTATAAAGAATTTAAGGAAGACTTAATCCCTACCAGTGAAAAAAAAGTTTATACAAGATGGACTGGATCTACTACAATCATAAAAAGGCATACTGATTATAGTTACATAGTGCAAAGCTACTATCAGAAGCTCTTTTCCAAAGTTCAAGCGAGTATGAACGGACTAAAGCTGGGTTAGATCGAGTTCCGCTACTAAGGCTAGTAGCAGTGGTTTTATGCTAGTAGTGGTTTTAGGCTAGTAGCATTTTATTATGGAGGCACCTAATAGGCGGCCACCATTACCTCTTAAGAAGTAACAGACAATTTACATCCATGCCTTCTTCGAGAATCGAACCCCGAACCTTCAGTACGGTAGTCAGAGTCACTAACCACTTTCATGTCGGGGCGGCTGATTTGTGTAAACTTGATTAATTACTTCTATGGAAGCCAAACTATATAGTTAAGTTTTTAACTATTAAGAAGAGGGAAAAAAATAATCGTTGGTTGATAAATCAAGCTGTCAATTTAAAAGTGTTTAGATGTACCCAGGGGATTATTTAGTATAGTTGTAGATGATAGTTGGGGTTTAATTTCCCATTAAAATATTTTGTTGCACTTTCTGTTTAAAAATAAAACTCTACTCCTTTCAGACTTAACATTTTATATTCCTGGTAACTGTCTTACCTGTAACATGAAAATTCAATTCAATTAGACTTTCGAGAATATTATTTTAAGTTCTCAATTCTAAGATTAGTAAGCACTACTGCTTTGGATGCATCGTGTATTGTCAGTAGTGGGTAGTCACCGGGGAATCTCAGCCGGACGTTTACCCCAACTAAGTTTGTGCACTATAAATATACCATCTTAAATCTTTCGCCCTTAGGTCTCATATCATCGTCTTAACACATCTCGGTATCTGGTTTGGTTCCAAACTAAAGCTAATGTCTTTCCAGTAAAACTTCGTCCTCTGAAAATTGTAAAACGGCCAAAAAATACTCCACAGAAAAAGTCATCTTGTATCCTCGTGTTGCTACCATGTGTTGCATCAGCATTAAGGCCGTAAAAGTTTCTTTCTTTCTTTTTTTTTTTTTTTTCCAATTATCCATTTGCTGGTATAATGTTTAATGCCAAGTAAAGGGGGAAGAAGAATTAAACGGAAATTTATTTTTAAGACAGATGGGATTTTTCTGGATGCATTTCTTTGTTCATTTACGTATGGGAGCTAACTTTCATGTATCGCTAGAGGAGGTGCACTTGCCCTCGTGTTCTTTGGATAGAAAGTGACATTCAGCGTGAATTAGCAGAATCTTTCTTTAGTGCGTGAGTTTAGGTGTTAATCAGTTAGTTTCAACGATCAAAACTTTAAAAGTGAAAAATATTAGAAACACTGAAATAAAAGTCAGGTAGTCAGGGCTAAAACAAATATAAATGAAAAAAAATAAAATATCCGTAAGTTTTCAGATTTTGTATTACGCCCAAAGAGGCCTTTTTTTAACGTTTTGTGTGCAACTTTTATTTATGAAATTTAATGTTCTTCGGACTTAAATCATAAACTTCAATTCAACGGAAATATCGCAAAATAATTTTGAAATGAGCATATCTTTAAAACTTCCGTTACACATTCTCGCGCGCTGGACATAAAAATGTCTCTCCTCCCTCGTACAGTGTTGCCATTGCTTGCTTTGAAATCGTCGAGTTTGTTAATCAGAAATTCGTTAACGTGTTACAAAATATGAAAACGATAATAAAACAAATTCCAAATTAGGGCTTTGAGATACCCATATTCGGTGGAGGATTTCAAAATTTGATGGCTCTAGGTACCGTTGTTTTATCACAATGCAAGAAACATATATACATTTATGCAGATTTTTCGTTATTTAATTTCTTAAAATATTACACAGGGCGATAATATTTGGTGGCAACAATCTGAAAAGTAAAACTGACATTTAAGGTTTTCGACGTAAAATGGCAAAACAAAATTAATAGCCCTTCTCAGCTAACGCCGTTTGGGCTAACAAGTTTTATATTGTTGGCTACCATATTACTATCAAATAAAAACGGAACCAATTGGCATTTTTTTATCAAATGATTTTTTACGAAGTTTCCGAACAATAATGATAGAAGGCTTTATGAAGAGGCGTTATAAAATTTTATGAAGGGGAAGATTATATTTCTTCATTCTGATATCGTATGTACGAATAATTTAAAATGAACTTAATGTGTTCACCTCATTGTGGAGGGGGAGGAAGTCAAACTCTGTACAATAGATAAAAAATATTTTACTTGCTGCAAAATACAAAATGCAATCACAATGTAATGCAACATCTTTAGAACTCAGTAATAATAATAATAAAAAATAATATTTAAATTAAAATTTAAAAAAAATCTGAAAACTTTCACATTTTATATTATGCCCAAAAGGGCGTTTTTTTCATTTACACAGATATGCGTTTCGAGAGCATTTGGGCTAAAAATGCTAAAAAAACAGCCTATTTTTAGAATTTCCGATAGAGAATCTCGCGCGCTGGAGATAAATTTTTTTTTTTTTTTTCCTGTAAAGTGTTGTCATTGCTCCCTTTGAAATCGTTGAGTTTATTAATTTAAACATCGTTACAGTTTTAAAGAATATGTAATACACAGTATTTTTTCCCTTTTGATTACATTAACATTTAGAAGCAGAAGTGTGCTTTACCGTAATCTACCAAACCAAATTAATTCTATTTAGGCTTGTTTAAATTATACATACTCTTGTAATTTGAAGTATGTCTGATATATTTTTCCCGTAGAAAGTTACATTTGCGGAACACAGTTTTCCGTGCGCGCAGTTTATTAATGACGTGAGCCCTTAAGTTCGACTAAAGCAGAGCTGGATTAACCATCAGCCTAAAAGGGCATCAAATGGCACCACAAAAAGGAACTCAAAAGTAAGGGCACAACTGCAATTTCCCATCGCTGATTTTACCACGGAATAAATAATATTGTGCTGCTAAACTAAGACAGAGAGAAAAGGACTGTGGGGCAGGCGTAAATTTATGCGGGGCAACTAAATTTTTTAAGTGCTTAGGTTCACTAAAAGTCCTAATCCGGCCGTGGGCAAATGTTAATTGTACAACAAGATAACCCATTGATAATAAAGTTTTACATATTGCTAAATAAAGAACTAAGCTACGTATGTATGCCTTTATTTATTATACACGATGTAGTTGTTCACTGTTAGATTATATGATGAATTAAATTCTTTGCAAAACCGATGAAACATTGAATTTTTAAACAGTAATTGTTTTTTATAATAATTAAGATTACTTATGTTTTTGTACACCATCGAAATATGTTTTTGTACACGATCGTACAGTCAGAGTAACAGATTTGGTGGCAACGTAATTTTAGGAGGGATTCAGCCAATTTAGGAGGGACAACGAAGATTCCTAAGCATTGTAAAGCAAATGCTGTATTTTTTTAATATAGTTAAAAAATTAAATAAATGAAAGTAAACCAGATGTAAAACAGCCCAATATTTTTTATTTTCACTTTACTAGATTATTCTTGGAAGATTGGGAGAACAGGCCAGTTTTTTACATTTTCCCCTTATTTGGGGGGCGGATGGGAATTCTTAAATTTCTAGAATTCCCTTTCGAGGATATCTAAATAATTAAAATGTTTACAATCAAGGGAATATTTACAAACAAGGGAATTTCGAGAAATAAATTATTTATGAATTCATCAATTATTAAATCTGGAAAAGCAGTAAGTTCGGAAATGAAAATAACGTAATGAGAAGGAAAGGGAGAATTAAAGATAATATACACCGTCTTCCCCAAAAGTTCCGAGACTAATTTCCTTCCTGGCATATAATCATAACTCTAGGAATCATAAATGGGGTAAAACTGCAAATGCAATTCCTGGCTGTCATACATCGATTGTGCAAGATAATTCAGCGGGTTTGTCCGGAACGATGGTAGAAAAGAGATTTCTTTATGCTGTTAACAATGCACCTCCTCACACGGCTGAAGCTGAGGTGCAGTTTCTAGCGAAAAAAACTTGCCGTTTCTTAACCACCTTCCATATCCACCCGATTTGGCGCCGAGTCACATTTTTATTCCCGAAACCGAAAATTAACATCAAGGCTCAAAGTTATCCGGACGTAACCGACATTCAAACCACAGTAACACGCAAGTTTAATAATATCCTAGACAAGCACTTTTCTCTTAGTTTCATATGGTTGTATGAACTTTCTGTGCTTTGCACTCAAGTGGGCGAAGCATCTTTTCTCTAGTTTTCATTAATCGAGTCTCGGAACTTTTTAGACAGGCAGTGTGTGATTTAAAACTTGGAAACAAATCTTGAACATAAAGAATGCTTCTAAGAAATTTGAAAAAGTTGAAATTTTCAATGCTTTTATTTTCTGGCTGTTAAAAAATTAAAGTGAATGATTCATGAATGTTTAGATTACAAGTTTCGTTCACTTCAACAGTTAAAGTATTATTATTGTTATTTCTAAATTCATATGAAATGTTTATTTGCTTTATCTTTTTCAGGTCGGGATTACATCTGGGGAATTGGAAAAATCGGTTTGAAATGTGAAGGTACGTATAATTTCAGTCTATTTAAAATTTCCTCCCTGCTTTACTCGTAGTAGAAGGTAGTGCATTTATCTAATTATTCTAACTTAATTAACCGATTCCTCATGACAAGTGGAAAATGACATCAAGAAATTGCAAATTTTGAACTTAAATATTCCGGTCAAATTTTGTCGTACGGGAGTCAAACTTCTTATAATTTTATTTTTTTTAAAAAAAATTTAAACGAATAAAAAAAATGGAAAAAAAAAAAAAACTTTGCTGTGCTGTCATTATGTGAAAGAAGTTTTTCCGCTTTATTAAATGACGCTTCCGCACTTTAAAAAGGTGCACTTAAAAGATTAGCATTCTCTTTGTTAGCACTTAAATTTTCTAAACATTTCAGATTTCGTAGGTGAATATTTTTTTAATAAAAATGATTGTAAACATTTTAATTATTTTTTTCGTAAGGTTTAATTTGATGTTATTTGTAATTTCAGGTTGTACTCGTAGCTGTAGCGTTGAGCTTTTCTTTTCAACAATCAGCATGTATCTTTAAACTCTTTAAAAAAGTTTATCTATCCATGGAGAATGCTTTATTTAGCTTTTTTTACTTACTATTTATGTTACATCTATAATACATATTTTATCTGTGTATAATTGCATTATTTAATTGCGTAATTAATCTGTAGTATTAAATGTACTGTAAAATAATACATAATGCAAATGTATCAGAAGATTCCGCATTCGTTTTTCAATACAAATTATTATATATACTCCTTTATAAATGCAAAATTTCTTTTTAAAATACCTGTTGGAGTATAAAATATCTGTCTACAGCAATTTGGTTCCCTAATGGCGAAGCGGTAAAGTCGCTGAACACTCCTAGTTGGAATTTCGAATTTGTTTTATTGTCTATTTCATATTTTATAAAACTTTAAAGATATTTTGATTAACAAATTCAGCGATTTTGAAAGCGAGCAGTGGCAACACTGCACGAAAAAAAAATTATCTACAGCGTGCGAGACTGTCTATCGGAAATTCTAAAGATATGCTGTTTTTAAATATTTTTATCCCAAAAAGACATTAGCCCAAGTGCTCCCGAAACGTGTTTTTGTGTAAATGCAAAAAATGCACCTTTGGGCATAATATGAAATCTGATTCGGATTTCCTTCCCCATTTTTAGTTCTTTTAAAGTTAGTTGTAATTGCAATGATCATGGTATTTCTTATTAAGGGAATACTAATTTGTGAGACTTGGATATAACAAATGTAAGACCGAATCCTGAATATTAAAATGAAGAAATAAATAGGCATATTAAAATTGTCTTGTATACCTTTCTTTATTAGAATATATTAAAAAATACTTTTCATTATTATCTATTCGTATTAAGTTTGATAGTTTAAGTTCTGTAAAAAAAACTATCATATTGTTATATATTTGGAAATACCGATGTGACGGGTAGTTATATTTTAGAGGTTATGTTATAGAGAGGTAAGCTTCTGCTTCTACAGCTGTTCGAAAAACTGTATCTAGAGTGTTGAAAGGTTTGGTCGTTTCGCCTGCGGATGCCTATTTTGCTATATTCTGATCCGTTAAAATATGTGGTAATGTAAGAATTTCGCTAGATAATTTGCTTTAATGTTCTATCACGCTCTTCTAAAAACATTACCTTGCTGCATCAGACTTGTTTTACGATGCTGTAAGGTCGACTGGCAACGTACTTCGCGTGGATGTCGTGATGAGAGAGATGAAAAATGACAGAATAATCATCATCTCCGAAATGGACTTTACCATTCTGGTCGACACGTGCTTTAAAAGTGGTCTCGAGAAAAGCATTGAAACGCGTGTTCGAATCCCATCCATTATTATAATCCTTCCATCGTTCCATCATAGCCAGAAAAAGGCTCCAGGGTAGACTACCGTCTGCCACCGCTAATACTAATAATAAGGACGATAATGTAATAACCCTTGCGTGTTGTTGGCTTATCAAGATACGGGAGAGGGAGAGAGAGAGAAAAAGAGCGTTGCTTCTCAAACTGTCATGATTACCAGGTTTCTGGCCGTCATTGTCAAGACGTCATTACATTCCGAAATGGCCGAAGGCTGTGCCCCGAGGACTCAGGAAGGAATTTTTTCGGACTCATATTTGATAATTGCTACGTGCGATTGTCTTGTCATGGCTGGTCCCGGAGCGCATTTACTAGAGGGGTGGACTCTTTCCAACAAGAGCAATCGGAGGTTTGAACTTTTATTTGAGGAATGAATCTTAACACACTCGTCTATCTCTTTTTAATCCGACACGTGAAACCACTTGAACGAGGATAGCATTCATTCGTTTCAGAATCGCGGGTGTCATTAACAACTCTTTTTCTGTCACATTTTTCTTGAAATGTTTTTAAAATTCGCCGATTTTTTTAACTTACGTAATCATGGGGAAGCTGTTCATCTTTTTTTTACATTATTCTTTTTATCCTTCCTCCATCTTTTAAGACCGCATTGAGTCCATAATGGATTTTCTGTCCATTACTTTTACTGTATTCGAAAGCGTGTTTACGCATTTCTAGGACAATTTCAGGCCCGTTTGATTAATTTTCAAAATGTAAAGAGTATTTTTTTTTTTTTTTTTTTTTTTTAATATCCGATCTTTTCAGGACTATAAGTCTGCATCGAGTTTTCCATGATAGAAGAACGTGTCGTAAAATTTCCAGAGGTATTGATTTCCATTCCTCTTCCTCTACTTCCAGTACATCACACGTGGTGGGTTTGCGCTTAAAAAGAGCTCTTTTTAAGACATCAAAGGCACACTAGTTCATTGATGACACGTTAGAGAACTTCAGTAATTGGGGTCAAATAAATGAATTTCTTCTTAGTCTTCTTTAGCATTCTTAGTCTACCCCCCTTACTGTAAGTAAGCCCATGCTTTATCTGAGGTCACACTGTATTTCCGTATGTCTCCCGCTAAGTAGTTCTTATAGAGGTTTCTACAGATTGTTTTGCGTTGAGTGACTTGCCTCGGTAAAAGCTGGTAAACTGAACATTTTGTAAGCTTTTTAATTTTGCAAATCTCGGTTTATTATTTTACTTAATTTTGCTACAGTTATATTTAAAGACTTTGTTTTTGATTTCTGCGTCGGCAGATTTTTCTCATTTTACCAACAATTTAACTTCGAAACAGTATATATATTTTTCAGATATTCGTTTAAAGTCTTCTTTCCATGTAGAAGTAATGATTAACGATTTTTCCTTTTCCGATTCATAATATTGCTTCTTTTGCACTTAGAAATTTTAGTGCCATACATTCCACAGCGTTTATGAATTATGGAATGGAAATATTTCTCTTCGGAAAACACCGTATGATTTCCTTCAATCCACAGGTTGTTTACGTACCAGAGTTTGAAAGAAGAATAAATTTAAAAGTAGCAGACGATATTTTCCATTTCGAATAATAAGCTGTTGTCAGAAATTTTTATATTTATATTTTATATAAATATTTGTTTTTTGAGCGCTCTCGAAGCCATTTAGACTTTTTTTTTTTTTTTTTTTTTTTTTTTTTGGCGTGACATCTGTATGTAAGGACAGCATAAAGGAATATTTTTCCAAAAACGATTGTAAAATGAATTCAGAAGGGATTTTTTTTCATGACATCTTTACGTACATACATACATATGTATGTTACTGACATAAATCATAAATGATTAGCCGTAGAACGTTGACATTTTATATATGGGACCGCTATAACGTCTAGTTATACACCTCGCTTTGCAGTCGGCTGCAGTAAACGTATATGTACAAATATACTATATTTGAATTTAACAAATATTTTCATTCGTATAAAGCTAATTTTAATTTGAAATTTTAATTATATACAGGGTGATTCTAAATTACTTTTACAAATTAAGAGGGATGATAGTACTCGTCCAAATGAGCAATAATTACTATAGAACATAGGGTCACATTCCACTCTGAGAGGAAGAAAAGAAGATTATTAGAATTCCAATCTGAAGTTACAACAGTGTTGGGAGACCGAATGTACGAGACCAAATGCTGCACAATCAGTTTAATGACAAACTCACAGAAAGTGCACAAAACGGATAAAACTGAAAACTTGGCGTTCGAGTGTTAATTAGAGCTGAGACTTTGATGGCTGACAGTCAAATGCACATCTTTGGTTGGCAAGGTCTCAACCTCGCAAACGATTGCAACAAGTTAATTACACTTTGATCTTAGCCAGAGAAGCGATGCAAGAAGTTAATTACACTTTGATCTTAGCCAGAGAAGCGATGCAAGAAGTTAATTATGTAATCAAGGGTTGAATATTATCAGCTAACTCCAACATCCGCTGCATGCCGAGATTAGCATGAAAAGCTCATGCTACGTTCCGGCTGTCAGAACTTCGTGTCCCATAGAAGCGCGCTTCAAGTAGAATGAGCGCAGCAGTGTCTAGAGACAGGATAGAAGATGGCTAAGAGAAGAACAACTGCTACCTTTGTACTTGATATCAAGGTAGTTTTTTCCCCTAATAAATAACTTCCCGCTAATAATTTAGATAATTAACTTGTTGCAATCATTTGCGAGGTTGAGACCTTGCCAACCAAAGATGTGCATTTGAGTGTTAACCATCAAAGTTTCAGCTCTAATTAGCACTCGAACGCCAAGTTTTCGGTTTTATCCGTTTCGTGCACTCTCTGTGAGTTTGTCACTAAACTGATTGTGCAACATTTGGTCTCGTTCATTCGGTCTCCCAACACTGATACGCAGTCGCACGGACTTCCGACCTAAGGTTCTACACCAATCAGAGTTATATGTCCATGCGACGGAAAAGAATGTACCATCCACCGCCAGCGGCATTCACTGAATCAATTATAATAATATTACAATGCTAAATTGACAATGTCATCTATACAATAATTGTTACATAATAATCCGTATGAAAAATAAATATACGATCAATTAATAATTACATTGTCATGAATAGGATCTATGTTGTGGAGAGTGGAACTTATATATTAACCAGTTTTTAAACCTATGTCTTCTTCAATACGTCATAACTTCATGTTCTTATCAGTTACACACCTAATGATGTGTGTCCGTATTATTTTTGCAGTTATCCACAGAGTAAGCCAGTCACATCAGTTCAGGCAATTTATAGTTCCATAGCCCAAAGTAGTATATGATGTTGTGTAGCTTATTCTATTTTCACTTTTGTTAAGTTCATCGTTCAAGTAAATACTACTTGTTCACTTCGATACATCATAACTTCGTGTCCTTAACAGTTTGCACACCTCATTATGTGTGTCCATAGCAATTTGCACACCCCTGTGTCGCAATTATCCACAAGTCAATCACGAAATTGCAAGTGGGAAGTTCATTGAAATATGTACACTATTTTACTATTATCCACAGAAGCAAATGTTTTGTAAATAATGACTTGGCTCCCAGATGATTAAAAAAAAAAAAAAAAAAAAAAAAGAAGAAGAAGAAGGAAACTAATCCTTAAATTTTTCAATACAATTCTAAATTGTGCAAAGCTACAAATTTGTTAAACAGTTCCAGTCAATACAAATTGACTGGTATTCCAACAATATAAAGCACATATTCTAAAATAAAACGTCTAATGGAAAACAGGAACTAATTCCCAATTAAAATAGACATAAAATACATAATTATTCAGCACATATTATATACCAATCATCATACCATAAAAATACACATGTTTCAAATGCTGCAACTAATTTTTCATTACAGTTAGAATATTTACCAATCAAACATACTACAAATGTACATGTTTAAAAAAAAAAAAAAAAAAAAAAACAACCCTGCAACTTTTTTTTTTTTTTTTTTTTCCCCATGGCAGTTAAAATAATAAGTTTCTATTATACAATTATAAATAGCACAAATAAACAATTTCAATCTATACAAATTGACAGGTATTCCTACAACATAAGAACACATATTCAAATATAGCTAATCATTCTTGTAAAATGGCTATAATAGTGCCCAATTTCTTCAAATAATTAAAAACATCTACAGAAAAACAGGAACCAATTCCCAATTGTAATAAACATGAAATAACAAAAATTATTCAGTACATATTATTATTGTAAGTTCAGATTGAAATTCTAATATTCTTCTCTTCTGCCTTCCAGAGTGGAATGCGACTCAATGTTTCTATAGCCACATGCGGCTCTTTGAAGGATTATTTGTGGCTCTCGATAAATGTACCCCAGTTCCCTTTTCATTATGGTGTTATTACATTTTAAAAAAATTATTATCGTTCCGTATGTGTTTCAAAATGTCTTTTAAATTACAGACGACAAATA